TGGCCTCCAGAGCGAGTGCCAGGTTAGGCTCCAAAGCTACACAGAGAAACCCTGTTTCAAAAAGTGGATAGTGGAATGCATGGAACAACAAAGCAGACATTGAGACTAACTGGGAGAAGGAAACAAGCAGTTTGTGAGCACACCGGGGCGGGGAAAAGCAGGGATGAAATGAGAATAGATGTCCTTATTACTTGTAATAGAGTTACCCCGTGTGTGCTAACTGTATTAGTCATCAAATACCTGGCCAAAGCAACCAAAGGGACGGTTTACTTTGACTTGCTGCGTCAGGGTGCTGTCGACCATGGTGGGGAAGACACAGCAGCCAGAGCTTGAGCCAGATGGCCATGATGCAACCAAAGTCAGGAAGCAGAGAGAGTTAAATACCGGGACTCAGGGCACGTTAGCCTTTTTATCGAGTCTGGGATCGAATCCCATTGATGGCACCACCTATATTTAGGATAAGCCTTCCTACCTCAGTTAAACTAATCTAGGTAATCCTTCACGGGCGAGCCCAGGGATTTGTTTTCTGGATGATTTGATATCCCATTGAGATTAACTTTATATCAACCCCAAAGACTAATTAAAACAACGTGCAGCCAGAGTCACAATGCACCCCTTCAGTCCTAGCATCAGGAAGCAAAGGCAGGCAGACCTCTGTGAATATGAGGCTACCCTGGTCTACATAGTGAGGCCGGGCCTCAAAAACAATATTAATAACGATACTAAGAATAAGGTATAGGGGCTGGAGAGACGGCTCAGAGGTTAAGAGCACCGACTGCTCTATCAGAGGTCCTGAGTCCAATTCCCAGCAACCACATGGTGGCTCACAACCATCCGTTATGAGATTTGGCGCCCTCTTCTGGTGTGCAGATATACATGGAAGCAGAATGTTGTATACATAATAAATAAATAAATAAATAAATTCTTAAAAAAAAGAATAAGGTAGAGAAGGAGAAATGATCCAAATATTAACATTGCATCGCAACACAAAACATGTCTGCAGACTGCTACGCCTCACACACAGCTGTTGACAGAATTTCACAAACCCTTACCTGTCACAGAGATCTCAAGGGGGTCGCTGGGGGCTGAGGCCCGGTAGGGAGGCTTTGCCTGGAAGTACACACAGCTGTATTTCCCCGAGTCTCTGGCGGTCACGTTGGGAAGAGAGAAGTCTAGCACCGTTCCTGTTGAGCTGCTCGTCTGCAAAGGGGATGAGTGTCCCTCCTTCAGCAACGCAAACCTTATCGGTTCGAGCCCGCTGCCTGTCCTCAGGCATTGCAATGTCACCTTGCTTCCTGCAGTCACGCTGCCCCACTGGTGGGCTTGGAGGGAAGGTTTAGGCAAGTACCCTGGACAGGAAAGAGGGTTTGAACTCAAGGGAAGAAGCGGTAGGCCCCTTGCATACTCCGGTGTTGTTGTTGGTGGTGGTGTTCTTTTTTTATTTGTTTATTTATTTATTTATTTTTGGTTTTCCAAGACAGGGTTCCTCTGTGTAGCCCTTTTCCTGGAACTCCCTCTGTAGACCAGGCTGGCCTTGAACTCACAGAGATCCGCCTGCCTCTGCCTCCAGAGTGCTGGGATTAAAGGCGTGCGCCACCACTGCCTGGAGAAATTTTTTTTTTTTTTAATTTGTTCTTTGGTAACGATCTCATGAGCCACATACCTCTTACTTGTCCAGTGTGACTCTAGGACGGAGATTTTTTTCCCCCCTCCAACAAATCGTGGGTGGAACCACGTTCCTGAGCCTCTCTCCCTTGCCCTCTCTGGAGATCCCACCCCTTTTCATCCTCCCTTCATCCGGTCCTTCTGTCGACCCTGAAGATCCCATATGTCTCTCTGAGACACGCCCTGCTCACCTGTGACCAATAGGAGAAGGGGGTCACTGGGCGGTGTCTTTGTGCCATTGGGCCCTGCGCTGTAGGTTTCACAGGTGTAGCGCCCTCCGTAACTCTGTTGCAGCTCGGTGATGTTAAAGTCAGCCACACCCTCCGTCAAATCGTGCGGCTTGCCCACATCGAAAAAAAAACCTTCCTTCTTGAGGATGAAGTATTCACTTGGGGCGGGGCTCTTACATCGCATTGTCACAGTGCTCTTGGTGGGAAGCACTGAGCTGGGCCAGGCACTGAGGCTGGGCTTGAGAGGGGGCCCTGGAAGCAGACAGAGCCCAGGACTGACTTAGCTGCTCCCAGAGCCCCGCCTCCTCCTTTTCTTTTGTATTGGACAGAGTACTGCAGAGGTAGCTCAGTTAGTAAAGTTTAGGCAAGCTTGAGTACCTGAGTTGGACTCCTGGAGTCCACGTTGAAATCACGATGTGGTGATGGTGTATGCTTGCAACCCCATTGCTGGGGAAGGAGAGACAGCTAGACCCATGGGGCTTCCCGGTCATCGGGTCCACCCCAATTGGCATGCCCCAGGTCAAATGAAAGAACTTGCCTCAAAAAAAGAGAAAGAAAGACGAAAGGAAGGGAGGAATAAAGAAAGAAAAAGAAAAAAAAAGATTTCCAGCAACGCCTATAATAAAATGAAATAAAATAAAAGGTACGGCGGAGTCCTGGGAAATTACACCTGCTGGTGACAGTGTCAGAGGACCAAGTGACAACTGAAGTGTGAGGTATCAGTCCACCAGGAGGCAAATCCATGATGGGTGAATCTCAGATAGGCAAGGCCCCAAGACTCCAGACTCCAGACTGTCTTTTGCTTCTACAATTTCTTCACATGTTTGGTGCTTAAACTGTACTGTCTATTTGATAATGATAGTGTCCACTAAAATAGAATTTGTATGATTAAAAGTAAATACAGGGAAGTGTCACACAGCAGCCAGGGCCCACGAGTCTCACCTAAAGGGCTGCATAGATCACAGTTCAGGTTAATGGTTAAGGAAAACATTTGAGTCCCAGGAGCCAGGCTGGCTTGAGTTATCTTAATCTTAATGCTGAAAGATGCAGTCACAGGTTTCGGTGTGCATTGTAGCTGAAACAAAGCCTTAAAATTTAACTTCAGGTTAGATTAGATGCTTTGATGATAGCTTTGAGATGAAAAACTCTAGAAAACAACCTAAAGTTCACAAGGACTCATAGCTGAGTTATAGATTCATTATGTTAGTGTAAAAAATACAAAGCAGCCCAATTGTTACTAGCTGATGTACTTTCCTTACTAAGACTGATTGATGATCAAAGGTGATGGTTAATTCCTTATACCTATTTTTGCCTTCAGTCTCCTGATACAAGAAATTATTAATGAGTAGGTAAGTACCCTAAAGATTTAAAGGTGAGCTGATTGGCTGTTTTTCATGTATAAAAGTTTAGGTTTGTTATTCCTGGAAGGTTCCCTATAAGATTACCTTTCAAGATAAATAATAAAGCAATCAATTCTTTCTTTGTAATCCCAATATGCAGCCTGCCAGTAGAAGGTGGCTGAGAAAAATACCCCTTGCTTGCCTACACTCTGCTAATCTGTCACAAGTTACTTAGATGTAAATGTCTGTGAGTTCTTGGGATGACTTTGTTGCAGTCAAGTAAGAGGAAAAAAAAATGCCAAGTGGTTGTGGCAAATACCTTTAATCCCAATACTCAGAAGGCAGAGGCAGGCAGAGCTCTGTGATTTTGAGGACAGCCTGGTCTACAGAGTGAGCTCCAGGACAGCCAGAACTGTTTCACAGAAAAACCTTGTTTAGAAAAACAAACAAAAAACAGAGGTAAAAAACAAACAAACAAACATGGTTTTACCTGTATTCATTTGAACCATTCACTTGAAAAATAGAATGTAACCACATTGAAACTCCTATATTGCCTGAAAAACTTTGTTGAGGTACATAAGCTAACAAGAGGAGAATACAGTGATAGAATAAAGAAGGAATCCCTCAAGAGACTGAGTGTCTTTTCTCTTACCCCTCAAAAAAAAAAAAATCACAGTACGCCAACTCCATGGATTTCCCTTTGAGTCAGGTGCTGCTGGAGGCTGGTGCCTGAGGCAGCAGAAAACACCACAGTTGTCGCCCTCTGACTTCAACATGAATGTGCACACCCTTGTGTGTACATACACACATTGACATACACACCAGATATAAAAGGGGGAACAGGGTATTTGGGGTGAAGGATCAAGGAGAGTTTGTCTCGAGACCCACTTACCGTTGCCAGGAATGTCTGTTTGCCCAACACAGAGCCCTGGAAGAAAATGCACACATGAGGCACAAGTTCCTGCTTGGAGTCACCTAGTCACCCTCTCTGGTCCAGAGGGCCACTCTGAGAGCACTGCCATCTTATCACTTGGTGTCTCCCTCTCAGGAGCTGCTTGATCCTTCATCTGGGCTGTGGCTTCAGCTTGTATTTGAGATTGGCTATCAACATCTTGTTGATCTCACTTCAAGGGTCCCATCTTAGTTCTACAAACTCCCACAAACCCTTCCAATCCCTATCCCAAAGCTTCATACAATCACCGTCTCTGTTGGAGCATGGGTCACAGTGTTTGGGTCATCACCTCTCCTCCAGGGAAGGGGCACCAGCACTGTAGGACACTGGGGAAATAAGAAGTTAGCCTACTCCTAAAGGTATCAAGGACCCGTGGAGGAAGCTGGGTTTGGTGGTGCACGCCTTCAATCACAGTACTCAGGAGTCCAGGACCTTAGTGAGTTGGAGGCCAACCTGGTCTACATAGTGAGTCTCGGGACAGCCAGGATTGCATAGAGAGCCCTTGTCTCCAAACAAACAGAGAAAAAAAGACCCTGTAGAGGGAGGCTTGGGAGATGGTTCAGTCAATTTGATGCCCAACGACTATGTAAAAAAGATCACTGTGGTGGTATGTGCTTGTCATCCCAGTGCTGGGAAAATAGAGGCAGGAGGATCCCTCGAGCTCAGGGGCCAGCCAGTCTAGCCCAACCGGTGAGCCTCAGACAAAAAAGAGACCTTGCATAAGAAAACATGAATATCACATGAAGACTGACAGCAGAGGTTGACTTCTTGTCTCCATACACCTGTGTGAACCCACACACACACACACACACACACACACACACACACACAAGCACACAACTTATTTACAATGTACACAAATAAATGTAATAAAATGTGTAAGAAAACCCATCATGCCTCCACATGGTATGACCCCTAGATGAAGAGTTACAGATGGTGAATGGTTCCTGAGATGAGGATCAGTCTCCTCCAGGGATGAGTTCCCACATAGGTTGTCGAATCCCATGTTCCCAGTCATGGACACATATCCATAGGATTGAAGGTAAGTGGACTAAGTAGATTGCGTATATGTGCTCACAACACACACACACACACACACACACACACACACTAAATTAAATGAAAAAGGAAACTCATGAATTGGGGAAAGGTGCTCTGAGCCCAGTGGAAGAAGCCGTGGGCCCTGTGCTCATGACTGTTTTTTGTTGCTTGGAGACAGGGTTTCTGTGCGTAGCCTTGGCTGTCCTGGAACTCACTCTGTAGACCAGACAAACATCCACCCATCTCTTGCTCTCAGTACTGGGATTGAAAAATGTCCCACTAAACCTGGTTTGTTATTCTTTTTTGATATAAGGTCTCAAGTAACCCAGGCAGGCTCAAATCCACTGTGTAAGTGGATGGGTTTGAACTTCCTTTTTAAAAGTAACTTATTTATTTTTGTTTTATATGCATTGGTGTTTTGTCTGCAGGTATGTCTATATTAAGGCATCAGGTCCCCTGAAACAGGAATCACAGACTGCTGTGGGCTGCTATGTGGGTGCTGGGAATCGAACCTGGGTCCTCTGGAAGAGTACTCAGTGCTCTTAACCACTGAGCCATCTCTCCAGCCCCGGCTCTGAACTTCTGAAGCTCCTGCTTCCACCTCTCCAGAGCTGGGATTACAGGTGTGTGCCACCACAACCTGATCAGGAGTTACTGAATACTATCCATCACCTATTGTAGTTTTTATTGTATCAGAAAGAGCTAGGCAAGGTTGCACAATCTCTAATCTCAGCATTTGTGAGTCTAGAGAGGAAGATCTCTGTGAGTTCAAGGCCAGCCTCGTCTAGGCTCTGAGTTCTAGGTTGCATAGTAAAAGCCTGACTCACAATAATTTAGATATAATGAACAAGAAGTTCTTTCTGAGGTTGACCCTGTTGTATCTCAGCCATAACAAGTTAGCATCACAGAAAAGAAATAGCTGCTGTGACCCAACCTGGGCTAACAACAGCATATAGGACTTGCCAGTTTTCATTTGTTTACATTATATCTATGTTCTATTTACTCAAGGTGTGTGTGTGTGTGTGTGTGTGTGTGTGTGTGTGTGTGTGTGGTCTCAAGTAGTTCAGGCTGACCTCGAATGCCCCACTTATCTGAGATGTCCTTCAATTTGTGATATGCCTGTCTCCACTTTCCATGCTCTGGGATGACAGATTTGTATCACAGATTTGTTTTATAATATTGCGGACGGAGCCCAGGACTTCCTGCTCACTAGGTAAGCAAGCAGCCTGCCTGTCCAGCTGCAGCCCCAGCCCTTATTTTCCCCCATCTATGTCGACACCGTATTGAGCATTGGTTTTGCTCTAACCTGTACAATGAGGGTTCCCGTTCATCCTACGCACTCAGCACACTGATCTGGTGTGAGCTCTGTCTTCAATACCCATCCAAGCATCTCACCACTTTTATGACTTCCTGGAGACCACGTGGATGGAAGGGGCAGGAGCCTAGGGATCATGGTGGCTCAGCAGCTGGTCTGAGGGTCTTCTTCAAGTCCCTTATCAGCAGAAGAATAGGACCAGGGTATTGCAGTTGCTCCAGCCACGGTGTGCAGGCAGGACTGGTTTGGGGCTGCTTCCCCACATCCTTCCTCTCACGCCCACTTTCAGGAAATGTGCAGATGGCACCTATTGCAACATGCTCCTATGACCCCTTCAGAGACTTGACTCACTTGGTTCCCTTTGCTGCTCAGTCCACTTTCAGGCCTTACATAGGCAGCTTCCAAAATGACTAACACTGGGGCTGGTAGAGTTCATTCTGAGATGATGTAAGCATGTCAATGTTGAGATGTATTGGTGACAGCTTTGGTGGTCACTAAACAGTGGCCAATGCACCCTTCCTAATAGAGGTGACCAAGCCCATTGTTACTGGGGAGGACTCACAGAACACAGACAGCTCCTTTTTTTAAAAAAAAAAATATTTATTTTATTTTCCTTTGTATTTGAGACAGGATCTGGTGTAGCCCGCCAGCCTCAAAATCACCACGTGACTGAAGATGACCTTGAACTTGACCTCTCCCACCTCCTGAATGCTAGAATTATGGACGTGTGACACCTCATATGGTTTAGGATTGAACCCAAGCAAGGCTTTGCGTTTACTGGTCAAAGATCACGCCCATTGAGTCATAGCGGCAGATCCCAAAATGCTTTTCAAGCTCGAGCTACATGAGTAAGTAGTGGTCATGAAATTGAGTTTGTCAATTTGATTTTGGTTTTGCTATGAGAGTTCGGTTTAGTTTAGACTCTTTGTCATCGTTGTCGTTGTTGTTTTTGAGAATGGGTCTCAATACGATGTCCAGACTGGGCTCTAACTAACTGTGTTGGTGAAGATGACCTTGAACTTCCTATTCTTCTGCTTCTGTCTACTGTGGGTTGTGGACAAAATTTTCAAACAAGGAAGCCACCCAACACATGAAGATGCTCATGACAAGACTAGGGCTTTGGCTCAGGAATATAGAGCTTGTCTGGGATTCATGAGGCCCTGAGTCTAAACCCCAGTACCACCACCAAAAACAATCCCTAAAAGGAATGATCATGGAAGCATTATCCATAAAAGGTCAGTCTAGACAATGAGAATGATAAACAAATCATGACATAATCATGTAACAGAATGACCTCAAGCTTCAACAATAACAAAATACATGTAAAACGATGAAGTCGCTGAAGCAACATGGACTTGACAGACCAGGACACAAAGTGTACATGTAACATAATACTGGCTATTCAAAGGTCAACAACAGGCAAAACTCAGTCATGGAAAAAAATCCAGAATGGATTATCTAAAGAGGAAGCAGACACTGGCTGGAAAGAGTGCCAAGGGAACTTTTAGGAGTGCTAAAAATAGTCTAGTTTTTACATATGCAATTAGTAAACCAAGTTGGAAAAAAGAGATTGAAAGATTATAGGTGTGACAGATGATGGGCAGTTAGATAGTTGGATGCGATAGATAGATGATAGATAGATAGATAGATAGATAGATGACAGATAATAGGTAGAGAGAAAAATGGAAGCTAGAAGATAGACAGACAGACAGACAGAAGATACAGTGTCATAGTTTGGATCGGTAATGTCTGTTTCCTGCTGAAGCCATCAGGAAACTTTAAAAGGCAGGGCCATTTGAAGATCTTGACTGTCTGGGAGTGTGCCCTTGAAGAAGGTAATAATAGTCTGGCTCCTCCCTTTTCTTCTCTGTTTCCTCCCACCCAGGAAGAAAGTGACTTCACTTCAACATCTTTTTCTGACACAAATAGCTGTCTCAACAGAGGCCCCAAAGACTGATACCAACCAATCAGTCTGAAATCTCTAAAAGCACGAGTGAAAATGAAACCTTTGTATTTATAAATTGATTCGTCTTGAATATTTCTTACAGAAGCAAAAAGCCAAAAGACAAACATAGCTAGCTAGCTAGAGCGCTGTGATGCCCCTAAAATGTTTCCTAAGATATGTGCATTCTACTTTGTGTATTTAGGATATGAATGTAAGTCAGTAGGTACAGTGCTTGCCCAGAAAGCACCATGCCCTGGGTTTAATTCCCAACACTGCATAATGTGAGCATGGTAGTAATCCCATCACTTTTGCTCAGGCATTAAGAGCAATCATGGCTCTCGAAGATGCCTGAGTCCAGTTCCCAGCATCTACATGGAGTGACTGACTTATCATCTGTAACTCCAGCTCTAGGAGATCTGCTGCCCTCTTCTGGCAGCTGTGTACATCTACACTCATGTGCACAGACACATACACATACAGATGGTGGCTAAAATTCCTTCTCTGGGAAAGATGCAAACAGCATCGACCCTTTCTCTTCAGGTCCCAGTGACTCACTGCAGTGCTATTCCACCAAAGTTCACTCTAAGGAGGCAGTGCTTCTCAACATGGGGTTCCCAGCTCCTTTGGTGGGTCAAATATCAGGTACTTACATTACAAATCTCAGCAGTAGCAAAATTGCAGGTATAAAGGAGCAAGGAAAATAACTTGGTGGTTGGGAGTAACCGCAACATGAACTGTATCAAAGGGCCTCAGAACTAGGAAGTTTGAGAACCACAGCTCAAGGGGAACCATTGTGTTTGCTAAGCTCACAGAGCAATGGGTGAGGGGCTATGGGCAGGCCCAGGAGTGACCTTAAAGTAGCCAGACTGTGAGGTCTTCACCCGGCATGGTGACGACTTCCTGTTAGCTGCATAGACGGTGCCCCCTTAACAATCCTTCCCAACCTGTCTACTTCTGGAACCCACTAAAGCCACACACAATGAAGACAGAATTGCATAACGAGTAGTTTGCATGAGTGGCTACATCCTCAGGTGAGGGTGCCATCACCCTCCCACCTACCCTTCTGTGACAGAAAGTAAACAGTCACCAAGCTCCGTTGTGGAGATTTTTTGTTGTAGTTGTTGTTGAAGTCACGAAGATAGTGGCAGTTCAGCTCAAAGGATAGTCCTATACCACACTCATACTTACAAATAAAAATCTTTCTTTAAGAGTAGATAAGTAAAAAATGTTGGCGGAGTGGTGGTGGCTCACGCCTTTAATCCCAGACTTGGGGAGGTAGAGGCAGGCGGATCTCTGTGAGTTCCAGCCTGGCAAACAAGAGCTAGTTCCAGGACAGCCTCCAAAGCCACAGAGAAACCCTGTCTTGAAAAACCAAAAAAATAAAAGTAAAACAAAAACAAAACTAGGTAAGTAAATAATTTTTTCTAAATGTTGTAAGAGATTTATTTATTTACTATGTACATAATTTGTTCTGACTGCATGTCTGCCTGTTCAACAGTAGAGGGCACCAGATCTCATTACAGATGGCTGCGAGCTACCATGTGGTTGCTGGGAATTAAACTCGGAACCCACTAGAAGAGCATCCAGTGCTCTTAACCTCTGAGCCATCTCTCCAGTCAAGAAACAGGTTTCTTTACAAGAAGGAAATAATCTTCATTGGAGATTTCAAGAGAGGGAACCCGAATGTGGCTTCTGGGCCACCCCCGTTTCATCATCTCTCATACCTTCCCTCAGGCTCCAGCCCTTCCTCTACGTCTTCAGAACTGAGCAGGCACAAATGTCATGAGGCTGACTGGTTTGATGGAAGGCTTCTCACTCACAGCTCTGGCGTCCTACTGCGTACATAAGCCACTCCACAGGCTTCCTCAGCTGTGGAGGCCTGGAGTTCTTTATCCTGAAGGTAGGCAAGAAGCAGTGTCCACCACAGCTAAGCACTGAGCCGAACTCCTAGAATCCAGTTTCAGAGAGGGAGGAGAGACGAACAAAGGGGTCAAGACCACGCTGGGAGAATCCACAGAAACAGCTGACCTGAGTTAATGGGAGCTCATGGACCCCAGACTGACAGCTGGGGAACCAGCATAGGACCAAACCAGGCCCCCTGAATGTGGTGTCAGCTAGGAGCACTGGGCAGTCTATGAGGCCTCTGGCAGTGGAACCAGGATGTATCCCTTGTGCACGAACAGACTTTGGGAGCCCATTTCCCATGGAGGGAGACTCTCTTACCCTAGACACACAGAGGAGGGCCTAGGCCCTGCCCCAAACGACTTGACAGATTTTATGATCCCTCATGGAAGGCCTCACCCTCCGTGGGGAGTGGAGGGGGCGTGGGAGGATGGGAGGGAGAACTGTTGTAGGGGAAGCTGTAGCCACGCCTTCTTAGGGGCTGGCCACAGGTGTGCCTGACGACGCTTGTGAGAGAGTGGTCAGAGTGACATAGTGTGACTGCATATGCGCTTTTCGGTTTCACTTTGCTTCTTGCTGGACAGGCTGCTGCCACGCTGGCTGGCTAGGTCGCTCTGTAAGTAAGGCTTTTCCCTATTAAATACCCTTATATTTCAACCTGACTCCGTATTGGTAATTTCCCACTATAAACTGTGATTGATATGTAAAAGAAGATTGTTTCTAATTTAAATAAAATTTATTTTTATAAAAGAAGCAGTATCAAATCCTGGGAGGAGAATTTGACTGCGAGTATTGTAGATGCTTGACAGTGCCTGAACTGGGGACCAAGATGGGACACGGATGACATCAAAGAGGAGGGGCCAGGGAAGATGGATAGAAGGAGAGCTGTCAAATGCTGCATTCTAGACCAGGTGTGACTGTTACATCTACTCAACAAACCGCAGCAACCGCGCATACTGGACAAGGTTAAGCCACTTACAATTTCTGGCATGGGCAGACGTGCCTACCTGTATGTCTTCACATCAGGTGTGTGCCGGGTACCTGTGGATATCAGAACAGGATGTTAGCTCTCCTGGAACAGGAGTTACAGCAGGTTCTGAGAGAGTGTGTGGGTCCCAGGAAGTGAACCTGGGTCCTCTGAAAGAGCAACAAGTGCTCTAACAGATGAATCATCTCTCCAGCCCCTGTGTGTGGTTTCCAGCTAGGGACTGAGAGCCCTCCCGCTTAAGGCCATGATTTCTCTGAAAGGATACAAAGTTGGATTTATTCTTACTGTTACATATTTTTGTTTAGGGTGTGTCCATGCACACCTGTAATGGGGGTTTGTAGAGTTGAAAGAACTTGAAAGAGACAGTTACCTCTTTCAAGGCATCGCCCGCAAATCACGGGACTGGGTGGTAAATGGTTTTACCCGATTAACCCTATCACCAGCCTCCAAAAGTGTAGACATTATTTATTTATTTATTTATTTATTTTGGTTTTTCAAGACAGGGTTTCTCTGTGTAGCTTTGGAGCCTATCCTGGAACTCTCTCTGTAGAGCAGGTTGGCCTCGAACTCACAGAGATCGCCTGCCTCTGCCTCCCGAGTGCTGGGATTAAAGGCGTGCACCACCAACGCCTGGCTGACATTTTTTTTTTAACAGGCATTTTGATGATCTTTTCAAACCAAAGTCTAAAGTTTTTAGTATTAAGGGGACATCATGGACCCCGCCCAGTGCCATTATGACTGAGCACAAAGAGGAGACCCACACGCATGCCCAGGACACTATTATGGTGAGCAAATGTCTGGTGTTTTATTGGAGAGGGAGAGAGAGACAGAGTGGCTCAGGGCCTGGATCTGAAGAGCGGGCTGAGGTGGGTGGCTTGGTGGCCATCTGAGGCCATGGTGATGTCCATCCTGGCTATAACCAAGGTCCTTGTCAGGGTCCCTGGCTCTGCTGCAGCTGCAGTCTGTGTCGCTGTTGATGCCCCTGGCTCCCGAGACCACCCAAGGCTGAGAGGATAGGGCTGTATAGAGTTGGCCCTGCTCCTCAAAGGCCGCAGCACTCGGGAAAGCAGACCCTGCAATTCTCCCAGGTAGCACAGTCCAGCTGAGCTGGCCCTGAGAACATGAGTGTGGGAGATCTGGCCCCACCCCCACCTGCCATAAGGTGGCAGGGGCGAGGAAGAGAGGCGGTCCCCTTCGCCCTCACCGATGTGGCAGGCTAGGGAGCAGACCTCCCCTTAACAGCTGCAGGGCTTGGGAAAGCAGGTCCTGCACCTCGCTGTGCAGCACAGCAGAGCAGACCCTGTAGACAGGGATGTGGATGAGATGGCCCCAAGAATGCGAGCATGGGTGATGACCCCCAGCCACTCATCTGCCACAAGGAGGCATGGGCACAGGAGAGATGCTCCCCCACCCTCTCACCTCCATTTGCGTTTGGAAGAGTTGGCCCTAAAGTCATAAGAGGTGAAGGGCTGGTCCCCGCCCCTTACCCGCTGCAGCACTCAGGAGAGTGGCCCCTGCCTCTGTTCTAGGTAACAAGGAGAGCTGTCCCTGGTGGAGGAGCTGTGCGTGAGCTGTCCCTGAAGGTGTGAAAGCAGGAGAAGCTGTCCGGCCCCTTGCTCCTTGCTGTACAGTGTGAACCAGTTGGGGCAAAGCTGGGGAGCTCACCCTGGTGGTGAGGATGGGGAGTAGCTGGTGGGGTGACCAACGCTGCAACCACCTAGCCCAAGAATCAGGCATAGGAGTTGGCCCAAATCAACAGCTGCTCTGTGTGTTTGCTGGAGCACGAGAAGGGGTCTGTCCTGTCTATAGATCCAAAGCTGCAGGATCTCCATGACACAAGGCAACAACAGGATATCCAAGAGGAGTCTCAGTGAGGACCCAGTATCAGTAGTGTGGCAGAAACTGTAGGGCTCAAACCAGACCAATGACTCTTTCCAATGAACTCTTCTAAGGAAAGATATATGGACTACAAAGGTTCCATGGTGTGACTCATTGTGTCACACTGCAGCTTCCAAAATGGTTATATCATCTTTCTCTTCTTCTTCTTCTTCTTCTTCTTCTTCTTCTTCTTCTTCTTCTCCTCCTCCTCCTCCTTCTCCTCTTCCTCCTTCTCCTCCTCCCCCCCCCCTCTTTTTTATCTTGGAGGACAGGTTGCAAGGGCAGAGGGCATATATAAAAGGGTGGGAAGATGAATGGGATTGAGATACATGAATGTAAAAGCCGCAAAGGTTAAATAAACATTTAAAAGGTCAATGAATAAATCTTTAAAAAGAGCAAAAAAGACAGCACAAAGAAGACAGTCTCCCTGCTTTTACACCTCAATAAGAAAGGCAAATAAAATGACTGAAAAGGGGGGTGCTAGGGAGAGAGCAGAGCCCATGAAGTGCTTGCTGAGCAAGCATGAGGACCCGAGTTCTCATTCATTCATTCATTCATTCATTCATTCATTCATTCTTCTCTCATAGAAGAAAGCCACACCTCCAGAGAGGCTAAGAAACAAGGAAGACCCTAAGAGAGACATACATGGTCCCCCAGAGAAGGGAAAAGGGACAAGAGCTCCTGAGCATGGTGGGGAGAGTGGAGAGGGAGGTAGGAGAAAGAGAAGGGGAGAAATGGGGAGAAGAACATGAGTCAGGAGAAGAATAGAGGAGAGCAAAAAAAGAGATACCACAATAAAGGGAGACATTATACGTTTGAAGAGAAATCTGGCACTAGGGAAATGTCCAGGGATCCACAAGGATGACCCCAACTAAGAATCTAATCAACAGAGGAGAGGCTACCTTAAATGTCCTTCCCCTATAATGAGATTGATGACTACCTTAAATGACCTCCTAGAGCCTTCATCCAGTAGCTGATGGAAGCAGAAGCAGAGACCCACAGCTAAGCAATGAGCGGAACTCCTGGAATCCAGTTGTAGAGAGGGAGGAGTCATGAGCAAAGGAGTCAGGACCATGCTGGGGAAACCCACAGAAACAGCTGACCCGAACAAGTGAGAGCTCACGGACCCCAGACAGACAGCTTAGAAACCAGCGTAGGAAAGAACCAGGCTCCCTGAACACCGGTGTCAGTTAGGAGGCCTGGCCTATAGGGCCTCTGGTAGTGGATCCAATATTTATCCCTTGTGCATAGACTTTGGGAGCCCATTTCCCATGGAGGGTTACTCTCTCAGCCTAGATACACAGGGGAGGGCCTAGGCCCTGCCCCAAATGACTTTACAGGTTTTTTTTGATGATCCCTCATGGAAGGCCTCACCCTCCCTGGGGACTGGATGGGGGATGGGATGGGGGTCGGGGGCATGGGAAGGCCCAGGTACATGGCTTTGGTTGATGTTTCAGGATGCTTGTCCTGTCCATAGGGAGAAATACGACTGCAGTTTCAGTGTAGTAACTGTAAATCAGTGAAGGAGCCAGTGAGCATCTGTGCCCAGTCCTGTCCTCTGTGCCGTGGAAGGAGTGAAGACAAGGAGCTGCCGTCCCATTCCTGGAGAGCTCTCAAAGAGTTGGCAGTGCAGGCTTCATAGAAAACTGAAGAGCTGCTTGTCCACCTTGACCAAGGTTTCATAGTGGCCCTGGGGTGCTGCAGGGCCTGTAGGGAAAGAAGATTAAACTTGAATTTAGTTGAGAAATACTCATTCTTTGGTTCTATTTGATTTAGTGTGTGTGTGTGTGTGTGAAAGAAGATTAGACTTGAATTTAATGGAGAAATACTCATTCTTTGGTTCTATTTGATTTAGTGTGTGTGTGTGTGTGTGTGTGTGTGTGTGTGTGTGTGGTTGTATATGTATTTTTAAGGATGCTTATAAAATAATGTTTCCATATGGTTTTTAAAAATATCTTTAGTTGCCAGGCATTCTCCTTGTATCGTGTGGATTCCAGGGACCAAACTCAAGTTTCAGGTTTGGCAATAAGTGCCTTTACCCACTAGGCCATGCCAACTGCTTGGAAAATATTAACTTTGTAGGGTTTCCAAATATGGGCTCTGCTCTGGGTGTCCGCACCCCAACTTCCCATCTTTACAGAGTTGAGATATTTGAAAGCCACAGTAGGTAGAAAGTGCTTTTTTTTTTTTTAAAAAAAAAAAGACAGGCTGTATTTTCTTTAAAATTATGTGTGTGGGGAGAAGGTATTCACATGCTGGGGGGGCAATGCAGAGGTCAAAAGAGGGCATTAGATCTCCTGGGGCTGGAGATACAGGCGGATGTGAGCTGCCATATGTGGACACTGGGAA